AACCCTCCCTGCGCACGCCTGGCCCCACGCGCGCCAGCAACCCTCCCTGCGCCCGCCTGGCCCCACGCGCGCCAGCAACCCTCCCTGCGCCCGCCGCTGTTCCACTAACCTTACCTTGGCCACCGCACGTTCGGTGCGGCGGCAGGCCCAGGCGCTCCTGGGCAGCCATGGCACGCGGCAGCGAGGGCGCAGGGCGACCACCGGCTGGGCCACCAGCTGGCCCAGCCCAAGGGAGGTAAGCACCCGCTGGGCCCCACGTGCGCCAGCAACCCTCCCTGCGCCCACCGGCCTCCCACCTCCCACCCCTGGCCCTCTTTTACTTACTTTTGGGAGTTGCTGAGCAGGGAGGGGTGGAAACGTCCAGAAAGCTCACCTTAGCTGCAGACAACTTGCAGCACCGTTTCCAGACTGGGACTTTTGCTGGGCTCAGCAGGGCAGAGACAGCCTGGACAATTCCTATTGGCTTTTGAAAGCCAATAGAATTAGACTCTATTCAAGAGAGTCTATTCTATTGGCTTTCGAAAGCCAATAGATTCTATTGGCTTTCGATCACCAATAGAATAGAGTCTCTTGAATAGAGTCTATTCTATTGGCTTTCAAAAGCCAATAGAATAAGAGGGAGTAGCACAGCTAAGGAAAAGGTAAAAAAAAATGGCGGACTGCGTTGAAAAGGGGGAAAAAAATGGCGGACTGCATTGTTTGGCGACCCCCGTGAAATGGTCGTTCGACCCCAAATGGGGTCACAACCCACAGGTTGAGAACCACTGAGTTAGAAGCTGGGTTTCAGTCTCAGGTCTCAGGCCTGTCTCTGATGTAAGAAGTCTTCATTTATGCTATGTTGCTATGAAGAAGAATATATGGTATTGTAAATAATTTTATATGAATATAAAGAGTTTATTTGAATCAGCTAAATGCAGTCAACTGTGAGAGCTTCTGATTTATTTTTACCAACAGAGAAATTAAAATTCTCTAACAGGTTATGGGCCCAGAGCTTACTAAGGACTGCATTGTAATTTAAAGCTGGAAGAAATTGCCTGTGTTTAGAAAAGTATAAGAACAAGGCAGAATTAGCAGAATGGCTGCAATGGAATTTAAAGAAAGCTCTGTGCCTCGTTTAGGGCAAAAGAATTACATTATCCTGGCAGCAAAAATGGAATGTTTGCTGAAAGCAAAAGAGCTGTGGTATATTGTAGAAAATCCCCCACAAGTGTTTGCAGCTGCTGATCAGAACAGCCATGATCAAGCCATGGCTTATCTCATCTTGAATTTAGATGATGAACAATTTCTAAACGTTGCAAATCTAAAGACTGCAAAGGAAATTTGGCTGAAGTTGAGAGCTGTGCACGTGAATGTTTCTGCATGCAATATAGTGCAATTGTCAAGAAAACTTTACAGAGCCTGTTTGCAACCAGGTGAATCTGTGGAACAGCATTTAAATAAAATGCAAAGTTTATTTTTGGACTTATTTTGGACTTAGAACAACGTGGGATTAAATTTCCTGAGTCACAGAAGGTTTTATTGGTGTTGAACAGTTTAGATAAAACCTGGGACACAGTTTCTTCTATATTTGAGTGCAAAGAAGAAAAGGACTTAAATTTTGAGGCTTTAAAGGCATGTTTGCTTAATGAAGAAGAAAAGCACAATTTCAGGAGTAGCCAGGAGGAGGAGAAATTCCTGAGGAGGGGGTCCAGACTGCAAGTCTCCGGAGGAGAAGGAACCAGCAGCATATGGGACCAAGTTGCAACAAAAGAGCGATTTTGCAGACAGAGAGCTTTGCAAGAAAAGAATTGCTACATTTGTAGAGCCAGGACACATCTGAAAAGGAACTGTTTGCAGAGGAATAATTTGCAGCAAAGGACTGCAAGCAAAGAAGACTAATTTGCAAAAGGAACATTTTGGTATTGCAAAAGTTTGCAATAGCAACAATAGAGACAAGTGGCTAATAGATAGTGGTGCAAGTCAAACAATTGTTAATTACTCTGAATTATTTTGCAGGTTTGTTCCAGTAGCACAAGAAGCTGTAGCTTTGGCAAATGGCCAGAAAGCAAAAGTCATTGGAAGAGGCGATCATTTTTAAGGTATAAACCTTAGTTTCAAATGGTTACACGAAACACATGGACTCTACCTTGTATTAAACAATTCACACAGATTAAATCTGTTTGTTCCAAAACTCTGTATTTTTGTAAATGGGAAGTGTCTCATCAAAAGGAATGGGAATATTTGTGCAGAAGGCATAAAGGAAGATAATCTATATGTATTGCAGGGACTCTGATTGGATGGAAATCCAGAAAACAAACAACTGTTGCTATTTCAACAGTGGAAGCAGAGTTTATTGCTTTATCTGAATTGTGTTCTGAAGTAACATGGTATGTACAGTTGTTGCAAGATTTAAATATTAATGTAAAAGAATCTGTAAAGGTATTTGAAGACAATGCTACCTGTATAAAAATGGCAACTGGTGATAGGGTGAAGAACAGAAGTAAACATGTAGACATTAAGTATTGTAATGTCAGGGAAGCTGTAAAAGGAAAATTGATTAGTTTACATCATTGTTCTTCTGAGGATAATTTGGCAGACATGATGAGTAAACCATTGGGTGGTATTCACTATGGAAAATGTATTAAGTCAATAGGTCTGATGTCTCTTCCTGCCATGAAGGGAGGAGTGTTGGAATATTCATGAGCAGGAAGAGTCATGTGGTAACTCAGTCAGCCAATGTGAAGAAAGTGCTACTGAGTCTGTGCAAAAGGTTATTGAGTTAGAAGCTGGGTTTCAGTCTCAGGTCTCAGGTCTGTCTCTGATGTAAGAAGTCTTCATTTATGCTATGTTGCTATGAAGAAGAATATATGGTATTGTAAATAATTTTATATGAATATAAAGAGTTTATTTGAATCAGCTAAATGCAGTCAACTGTGAGAGCTTCTGATTTATTTTTACCAACAGAGAAATTAAAATTCTCTAACACCTAAGCTCCTTCCCAGGAATTCCACCCACACACTGGTATAGATATGTGGACGATTTCTGGGTCAAGATTAAAACATAGGAAGTGGAAGCCTTCACCAAACACATCAACTCTGTGGACAGATACATTAAGTTCACATGGGAAGATGTTAAGGAAAACAGTCTGGCTTTTTTGGACTGTGCAGTGCACATTAAGGAAGACAGAAGCCTAAACACTGAAGTTTACAAAAACACCCCTCCCTACACACTCACAGATCAGTATTTATATTCTGATTCTCACCACTCACTGGAGCATAAAATGGGAGTGATCAGAACCCTACACCACTGGGTTGAAAGTTTGCTTATCAATAAAGAGGGAAAAGAAAAATAACTAAAACATATCCGAACTTGTGGCTTTCCCAGCTGGACCTTTATCAAATCCAGAAAGAGACCCAGCAGGAGTTCCTCCATAACAGATAAAGAAGAGAAGAAAAACGAAGCAATGTTGTCATTCCATATGTTGCAGGAATATCTGAAAAGACCAGGAGGATTTTCAATCAACAATACATACATGCATATTTTAAAACCAAGAATACACAAGGCAGAAGCTTGACCACCCCAAGAATACAACACCTAGACACAAACTGAGCAATGTGATATATGCAATACAGTGCAGTAAGAAATGTGCAGATCTGTACATTGAAAAAACAACCACTTCACAAATCCATGGCATAACATAGGAGAAAAAATCCTTCAGGACAAGATTCAGCAGTTCATATGCATTTGAAAGGCAAAGGTCACTCTTTTGAATATAGCGCTCCACATTGGTTTGAAAGGGGGGTAAAAGAGGCCATCTATGTTAGAACTGAACATAGAGGGGGAGGAATACAACACCACCAATCTCCTGTCTACAACACAGTCCTTTCAGTAGTTCCAAGAAGATTCCACTCCCATTTGCACTCTGATTCAGGTCACCCGGAGGGCACAGATAAACTCCCAAGTGGCCTCAATGGCTCTCAGAGAGAATACAAATGACCAGATGACTGCAAAGAAATATAGTCCTTCCATCCTCCCCCATAAAAATGTAAGACATGTACTTCCAAATTTCATTCATTTTGTGGAATCTAATGCAACTGGGCTGCCTTTTCCAAACCCAATTCTATCTGCATCTGAGTTAGTTGCATAACAGTAATGTTCATCTCCATTATTTAATAGCAAAAATTTGTTTTACTTCATAAATTATTACACAGGGCCTAACTATACAAAGTATATAATTGTTTAAATGTGGACTATGACATAATAGCATACAGTAACTGTATACTTTAAGTAAAATATTAAATATCTCTGTATATATAGTACATATACTGTATGGTTTATTCATGATAACCAAAGGCATGTGAGTTGGCTTTGTTTAAAAATGACTATTGTCCTTCAGGAGGGTGATGAAATGAAAATTATTAATGAGATCATGTTCTGATGACTCCATCACATACATGTAATTTGTAGATGCATTCTTTCTAAATGAACTGTCACTATCACATACCCTAAGCTATCTCATAAGGTTCTTACCCAGATAATTTGAATACATAAGAGCTGTATTATTTCTGAGCAGTTTCAATTAATTATTTCTAGATAGCTAATGAAGATTTTTACCAAGTTTGAGATTGGGCTTTTTAACCTTTATTCTGCTTTAGCTTTGCTGTTTCCTCTAACACTCCTGTTTTATTGGTTTCATGTTTTGGGCTTTTATACTGTCATTATATGATAATTGTTTTAAGCCATTGTAGGCATATCCCACACCAGGAGGATGGAGTGACAGAAATTTTAATTTAAAAAAATGATAAAGTAATTTGAAATGAAGTGTATCTATATACATCCCATCTGAAGAAGTCTTGAGTATCTAACCTATACCTTATACCTCCACCAGATGTTCTCCCTCCCTTTTACTCTTATACTTGATTATGAATCCTCCCAAAATGCTCCCTGCAGCTGGTTCAGCATTTTACCGGTAGTCATTTTCCAGTTCATCCAAACCACAAGGCAGAGTTAAAAGTTCTAGGATGTTTGGTGAGAGGGCCAGCCTCTGGGTTGAAAGCAAGGTAGAAGTCTGCTCAATAGTTTTAAGATCATTATATTCATTGGAGTGGTAGGCAGAAACAGAAAGTGTGTGGGCTTTGGCCATCTTTCTTCCTCTTCTAGAGTCTTGGAAAGATCATTAGTAAGGAACCAGTCATGGGTTACCATGGCAGCAATGTGGAAATTCTGTGTTTACTACTGTATTTCTATTCCTTCTTGAACAAAAATGTAATTCTAGCTGGACAAGACTCTGCTAGAGTGAACATTTCCAGTGAACTTAGAGGAGAAGAAGTTATGACTGCCTTTCACCTCCAGATCAGCAGAGTTTTCTACTAAAAATTTGAACACATATCCAATTTAGTTATTTGTTTGATTGGGGAAAGACAACAGAAAACTAAACTAAAGATGAATTAACTTCTTTCTCTGACAAGAACGAACATTCTCTCGCCAGTAAAGTGCACAGTTGAAGTTAGGCTGGATGTTGAAAACAAATAGAAGCTATATTACTGACTTACCATCAACACCATTGTCAGATTTATTTTTTCCAACTTGGATACTCAGATGTGTGGATTTCAGTTACCAGAATTTCCCAGCTGTCTTGACTACTGTAGATCAACTTCTATCACTTCTCCAGCATCCCAGAAGCTCTAACTAAGGTTTTCCCATTGGCTGAATAAACTATTACAGCACTGAGTGATAGCTCTGAGGATTTGGCTTTCTAAGGAAACTCAGTGTAGGAAATCAAAGAGGATTGATCAAGAATGGAAGCTGAGGTTGCAATACTTTGGTATATTGTTAAATACTAGGTATCACATATGTGTCCAAACCTCCTGGTTCAAAGGTAAGCAAACTGCAAAACTTTAACCACCTTTTTGTGACTTCTTATATCTCTCTGCTGGCACAGCTCAATGGGACATGATTGCTCAAAGTCAGAGATGTGATTTCCTGTTATTCTGAAGTGGGACATGAATGGGACTCTTTCTCTCTATGGCTATAAAACTCTAAAATCTTAAAACAGACAATAGTTTCTTAATGCAAAAATACTCCACTCTCAACAAAGTAAGAAAAAAGAAATATCTGTGTATGAGTAACCCTGCCTACGTGCCCCATCCTAGGCCCAATCCAGCCCCTCCCCCCACTTTCAATATAAAGTGCAACTTGGTCATCAACAAAGTCCCCAGCTCTGCTGGAGATGAATTTGTATATTGGAACTAGGTCTCATTATAACTAGCACTCTTGTGCTTCCTCTAAAAATCACATATGTTGTCCATCACATCCAAAGAACTAACCTAGAACTAAGGATAAACTTCTTATCAGTGAGAACAATTAACCAGTGGAACATCTGGCCTTCAGAAGTTGTAGGTGCGGTTGTAATTTTGAACAGTCACTAAGTGAATGGCTGTAAGTCAAAAACTACCTGTATAACTGAGAGCAGAGGGGAAAACGGCAAGCGTTGAAAATTCTATTATTAGACCCTACAAAAACAGAGTTCCAATTGTCCTTGAGTTTCTTTTCTGCATCCCTGAAGGTCAGACCGGAAGAAGGGGATTATTACATAGTGCGTTGAACAAAATCCTCTTGATCCCATCCCATAGATTGTACCACTATAAGTTGCTATAACCAAGAAGTTCTGGTGATGTTGTTTAGTCCAGAATTTGCTGGTCATATTCTATTTTATACTACTACTACTACTACTACTACTACTACTACTACTACTACTACTACTACTACTACTAATAATAATAATAATAATAATAATAATAATAATAATAATAACAATAAAGTTGGAAGGGACCTTGGAGGTCATCTAGTCAAACCCCCTGCTCAGGCAGGAAACCCTATGCCATTTCGGACAAATGGCTGTCCAATCTCTTCTTAAAAACTTCCAGTGTTGGAGAATTCACCGCTTCTGGAGGCAGGTTGTTCCACTGGTTAATTGTTCTAACTGTTAGGAAGTTTCTCCTTAGTTCTAGGTTGCTTCTCTCCTTGATTAGTTTCCATCAGTTGCTTCTTGTCCTGCCTTCAGATGCTTTGGAGAATAGCTTGACTTCCTCTTCTTTGTGGCAGCCCCTGAGATATTGGAACACTATTATGTCCCCCCTCGTCCTTCTCTTCATTAAACTAGACATATCTATAATTATTTATGAATAGAGCAATCTGGAAAGTGATTCTTAAGTCAAAATAGCTTACTCAGTAATATGTTATTCTAAACCTTGATTGCAATGACCAAGTAATGGTGAAATAGTATACTATTGATATTAATGATTGAAATGAAAATTTAGGAGTATATATTAGTCTGAAATGAACCATTTTCCTCTACAATCAAGTATATTATTCATGATGGACATGCTTTTTTTAAAAAAAGCATAAGATAAAACTATATTAAGCTGCTATTTATAAATATAAATGTTAGTCTTGTTTGTAAATATATCACTTCATTGTTAAAAAGCTCTGTTTTCAGACTTTGAGAATAGAATGTAGTTCTTGGTGAAGCACACCAAAATATTATTTATTATAGGATTATGTTTCTAGTATGTAATTGGACACATTTTTGCTAGAGGCCTTATTGTACTGTTCCAGCATAGACATTTATTTGCCTAGGCAATTGAGAAATTGTATAATGAGGAAGATAATTTTACATTTGACCTTTGTTTATTCTGACAGAGCTTCAACTGTGTTCAGTTCAGTTTATACTCAAGTAAGTGTTTTAGGACTGTTAAAATTGCAGCCTATCAAATTATATGTATGCTTTCTCCTAAATAATTTGGTCAACAGTTGCACTCTATGTCTACAATCTTAAAACACATATTAGAAGTAAGCCATATTGCATACTAGGCTTTTTATCTCACTAAATCTGTAGAAATTTTATTCTAAGACTTTCTAATGATTTGGCTTTATAACAATTTTGTTTAGGATTATAATTTATGTTTACAGTCTTAAACACTTACTACCAATAATGTATCATGAATATAAGTGAGCTTTTCATCTCAGTAAATCTGTAGAATTTTACTTTTTTCTGTAAAGTAAATCATGAACTAGAAATAATATGGATTAAGAAATAAAACATCTATCTATCTATCTATCTATCTATCTATCTATCTATCTATCTATCTATCTATCTATCTATCTATCTATCTATCTATCTATCTATCTATCTATCTATCTATCTAGTCTTGAAAAAGAGATAAGAAACAGATAAGCCTCTGTATTGTTTTATATTTAGAAACCATACCTTTTATTTGTATACACATTTATAGAATGATCATATTTCTACTTGATGATCATACTTCTGCTTGCCACCATTCACCAACCTTTCTACATTGGCCACTAGGTGCTACCATGGTGAGGGTTTCCTATGGGATGATTAATGGGTTCATTGTCAGTACAGCTCCTTCAATATGTTATCTGACAAGTGTGAAATGATGGCATAGAACTAAAAGCAATTGTTTTTAGTGGACAGAGAAGTTACTGGCAGCAGAGTTCCAGTAAATTCCAAACGTTTAACCAAGAGCTAAACTAGGCAGTGACGTAAAATATCTCTTATCAGATTTCAGTTTAAATGCTTTAAAAAGAATTATGGGTAGTTTCACATTTAAAGCAGCAGCATCATGAGAAAAGGATTTTACTCTTTCTCTCTGAACTATTCCCTAGTAAAACACCCTCTCCCTGAAATTACTGTGTCTCCTATTGACAAAATTTACAGACTCACAAAATAGTTGTCTTTTCCTCCTAGTTAAACTAGTAATATTTTTGGAGGGGAGAAATGATTACAAAGAAAGATTTAATATGTTCCTTATCACAGTAAGTATTGAACAACAAGAGTCAGGTAGCCATTCTCTAATTTGAGCCATATGTGATTTGGCCCTTAATCTTTCCTAATAAAAACAAGTGTCTATGATGTACTTTTAATTTAAATGGTCTAAAAGACAAATATTATTTCAGTTCAATTTCTCCGGTTCTCACAATAAAGAAGCTTTTCCCCAATAATTAAAGCATTTCTTCTTCCACTGTAACCCAGCATCTTGTTTTTAGTGCTAATAGTTAATAAATTCTCTGCCAGTTCTGCAATGGTTAGCTAGAAGTAAAAGAGGATATAGCTAATACTGGCTTATTAACTGCACTGAGAAGAGAATTCAACGGAAAGGGGAAATTTGTTTATATATGTAATTCTTGGATTATGACCACTCGTTCAATGACCATTTGAAAATTGGCAATACCAAATGACCCATACTTATGATCAGTCTCTAAGGTTCCAGTCATTATAACATCCCTAAGGTCACTTGATTGTGATTTGGGCACTTGGCAACTAGTTTGCACTTATGATAGTTACAGTATCCCACAATCAAGAAATTTACAACCTTCCCTGCCAAGTTCCCATAAACACAGGTGGGGAAGCCAGCACGGAAGGTAGCAAGTCAGTCCCATAAGCTGGTCCATCATTTTTTATCCTAGGAAGTTCCACTACAGAGTACAAGATCCCATGGATCTGTGGCCACCAGGCCCAGATTTATTTAGATAAATAAAATGCAGTACATTCTTCCAAGTCATCCTCCATGAGCTCAATGGGGGCTCACTTTTCATCAAGTACGAATGTAGAGACTTCCTGTATGGATTTTTTTAAAAAAAATATATGCATAAGTAACCAGTGTTACTAAGATTAATAACATTGTGCCTGAAAACATTCAAGTGGCCACTAGACTACAGCTCAGTTAGACTTCCATTTCTCATTGCTAGTCTTGATTTTTTTTTTTTTTGAAAGCCAGCACTAATAGTTTGGGTTCTATCAATATAAATGAAATCTTTTGCTGTTGTTGAAATTAATAAGACTGAAGTGTTATAAAATCAGGATTTTACTAAGAAAGTCAGCATGTTATTTTTTAAAATTAAATTTCCACAAGTAATAAAGTACAGAAAATTAGTAGATAAAAGGAATGTGATGTGTTTGTAAACTCGGTGATTAATGATAGCTTAGAATTGTTTACCATTAATGAAGTAATAATTTACTTAGGCTTAATTATGTATCTGGCTTGTGTTGTTCTTGTTACTTAGTACCAGCAAGTATCTTTGACTTAAATATCCACTGTGATATAAACCAGTATTTTTCAA